GAATAAACAGTGGTCGTGATTATTCCAAGTTCCCTGAAGTGGTCTCGCCAGTGTCAGGGCGTCAACTCCTGAGCCCAGCTGCAGCCGCGTCTCACTGAGTCACCATCAGCCCTAAGCTGCCTGCTGGGCACCTCCCCCCGGACACCCCACAGGCACCTGCGTCTCCTTGTGTCCCACACTGAGATCATTCTCGTCCCTCCCAATCCCCCTTCTCTCCTCCTCTCTCTTCCGGTGGTAATGTTTCTGTCACTCACGCCTCCAACCTGAACAGTCACCCGGCTCCTCCCTCTCTCGCCCCAGGGCCTCCCAGCCACCAGCTCTCCTCCGTTCTGCCCAAGTGTCGCCTCCTGTTGCCCCTTCTCTGACCTCTTCCCACGTCACCTGTTGAGCTCAAGCCCTCGCCACCTGTTTCGTTCCTCTCACACCCCCCGCCCACTCCATCCTGTGCTCTGCAACGCAATCAGAGGTTAAAAAATGAACATGCTACACCTACAGCTACAGACCTGCCCTAGCTCCTTCCCGCACACGGAATAAATGCAAACTCGCAGCATCCTGATGAAAGCCCTTTGCAACGTCACCCCGACGCCTGGCCAGCCTCCGTTCCATCGCTCTCGCCCCCAGCGCCGACACCTGGCCCCACAGAACCTGCCCTCTCCTCCCGTGTCGGGCCCCTTCCCACTCTGTAACTTCGAGCTTTGTGTTCCTGCTGCCTGGAATGACCTGCCTCAAATTCTTGGCCTGTAGAAAACCGGCCTCCGGTATTTCTTGCTTTTTAAGCCCGTCCCCGCGGTGTCCCTGTGTTCCCACCACAATGCAGACATTGCCACGTCGGTCTCCTCGCTGAGACCACGAGCACCCGGACGGCAGGACTGCTCACTACGATGCCTTTGTCTCCATAGTCCCAGGGCCAGCTCCAGACATGGCCACGGTGGGCACCCACTAGATGCATAAATGAACGAATCTCTTGCATCTGCTGGCCGGGACCCCGGGTCTCTATTTTCCCGCCCTAGAACAGCCAATCGCCTTTGATGAATAGGAGTTTGTCAATGAACCTTCACTGCAGACGTTTGTTCCCAGGGAAACTTAGAACAGGTTCTTGGGAACTCAGGTCCAAACCCAGGTTCAAACAACATCTCTGTCTTTATCCGTTTCTTGTTCCAATTCTGCTCCTATAGAAAGAGCGAGCCTGGGACGTGGAGGACCGCCCAGCGGGTGTTACCTGTGGGTCTGGGTGGCGGCTGACGGTGATGGGGACCGGACCGGGGTCACAGTGACTCAGGATCGCATAGACATCGTTGAGCGTCATGCAATGCACAGGGGAGTCGTTGATTTCCACGATCTCATCGCCACACCTGCGGGGGCGCCGGCAGGAAGGCGTCAGCGAGGGAAATGCTTTGGTGTTTGGGTGGTCCCTGCCCCGGGCCCCACTCCTGGCTGGGCTGTTGGATGAGATCTAAAAATCACATCACGGAGTGGACCTCCCCAGCCGCCGGACCAGAACTCAGAACAGGGCAGACCAGAGCAGCACGGCCCACACCCCTCGCGCACGACTGCAGGGTGGCAGGTACCTCGTGCCTACAGCGGGTCGACGGTAACAAAAGTTCCTCTGTAACTTTCCTCCTCTTTTTCCCATTTAACTACAGTCAAGACTGAGGGTGTGGCTTAACCAATTACCAATTAGCCACGACTTAATCCATCACGCCCTTTGGGCCTCCGCGCTCCCCTGAGCAGAGCAGTTAGGAGGAAGGACCGGCTCTAACAGCACAGGCGGGATGTCGGGTGTTGGACCTAACCTCCTCCTGTGTGTGCCGGGAGGTAAAGGAAAATCACTCTGCGGGAGAGCCGTGCGCCAGGTTCCTCCAAAAAGAAACAAGGAGAGAAGGCGATGGAGTTCATTCCCGTTGTGAGGGGAAGGGGCTTAGTGGCAACCCACACAGCAAAACAAGTAAGGTAGAAGAGTCGGGGCCGCATAGATATGTGGAGCATCTATGCAGTCCAGTCCCCTTCCTGTCACAGATGGGGAAACTGAGGCACAGAGCGTGAGATGATTTCCCTGATGAGACCCAGCTCAGGGATTGAGAGAATCTTTCTGTACAGCATCGGATAGTAATTTTTTATGGTCTTGCACGCTTTGCAATCCTACCCCTGTCGCAACTCCCCAGCTCTACTGTTGCAGCACGACGGCCGCGGCCACAGATAGTACGTGAACCGATGAGCTCACAGGTGACAGGCTGCAGTTCGCAGAGCCGGGCCAGCTGGCTACCGGTAGGCCCAGGACTGCAGCTTAGGTCTCCCGAGACCGACTTCCCTGTTCCTCCTGCCGGGGTCTGGGGCTTCCTTTCCTGTGTTCCTGCCGAGTCGGCCCCCTTCACCCTTGCTAGGGGAGTACACGTTTTTATGGATGTTACAAACTGAAGATCACTGTCATATAGCACCAGATGCCAAGGAAAGCAGAAGCTTCCAGAAGCTCCCTCCTAGCTGCTGCGGGTCTAGGAGGGAGGCACCTTCCGTCTGAGGGGGCCAGGACTAAGGCCATCACTCTAGCCGGGGCAGTACGCCCCAGGCACCAGTGCAGCCGCTCAGCAAGCCAGCTGTCGCTCCCCTGTGGTGACCGCAGCAAACCCCTTTCTGATTCAGAAGCTCCATCAAGACACCCTCGTGAGCAGGGCTTGTCCTTGCACATCCTGCAATTACAGGAAACCCTTCGAAAATATGGCAAAACTCTCCTGATTTAGCAAGACCCAAACCCAGTGAGAAGTGATCTGTTTGACCACACGTGACGGGTGGAGCTGAGTGTGATGTTGGGGCACCCTAGGAGAGTCGCGAGCGGTAACAAGTTAAATTGGAATAAAATGGGTTTTTTCTTTAACCAAATTCCAATCACTTATTACAAAGAAATTTTAGAGTCGTACTTCTCTTAGAAGTTATTTGTAAAGAAATATATCTGGAGTACCTGAAAATATTTTTTTATGCCAACAAGTAACTGTATTTATACTACTAATTTTTATAATTAAGCTACATTTTCCATTTAGAGCTCATGGGTGACCTATCGAAGCTCCATTTATGCCACTGTAAATTCTACGTGAGCTAAATCTGAATTAACGCGTGTTGATTTCGTGTTGTCTGATGCGGACCGGTGTCGTCTGAGATGGTGCTTCTGAGGGGTTTTGTTGGGATGCAGGTCTGGGGTGGGCGTCTGAGATGCTGCGTTTCTAACGAACTCCCCGTAAAGTCGAAGCTGCGGGTCCAGGGACCACGCAATCAGGAGCGAGGCTCTCAGCCATGCCCGGATCAATCCAAATATCTCACCCCAAATCGAGCCCCTGATGCGCTAAGGTGTTTCTTCCCTCCTTGGAAGTCAAGGGTTTACTCAAACACAGAAGTAAAGACATACCGGAGTCGTCCGTCCAGATGCGCCACAGAGCCCGGGGACAGCGTGTGCACGAAGATGCCCGAGATGCACTGGACGTAGGGGACGCTGCACAGGCCGATGCCCAGGCCCACGCCAGCCTCTGCAAGGAGCAGGTGGGGAGACGCGTGGTGAGCTTTCTTGGTGCCGTGGGTCAGTCAGTGGCGTCTACTTATCACGGCTTTCGTCCCTCCCACATTCTCGGAGGGTGAGCCGTGCGCAGGCTCTAGGGTCAGGACCGTGGCCAAGGCAGACCAGGGAGAGTGCGGTCGAGTGGGGAAAGACTAGGAAGGAAGGAGAGAAGGAGGGCAGGAGACAGGGAGCGAGGGAGGTATCGGAGGGTGATAACTATTGTGTGGACAACCAATGGGGAATGTCCTGGCCAGCAGGGACGGCCACCTCAGGCCTCAAAGAGGCAACGTTCGGGCTGAAATACGAATGGCAAGCACGAGCGAGGGACGAGGAGCTGCGGCAGAGCATCCCAGAAGCAGAAACAGCCAGTGCAAAGGCCCGAGGCAAAAGGGAGCGCCAGGCTGCAGGACCAGAAAGGCCAGGGTCTGCACAGCCTGACAGGGGGGCCTGGGAGGGGACTCGAGAGACACAGGGCACATTAAACGGGCGTCGCAAACGAGGGATTCCATCCTGCGCTGCAGAGGGAGGCCGCAGCAGCGCTGTGAGCAAGGCACTGGCAGGACCTGATTCCTGCTGTGGCCGATGTCTGGCTGCTGCGAGGAGAGGGCTGAGGACAGTGAGGGACGGAGACCAGGGGACGGAGCAGGGCAGTGGTGGCCTGGACCGCGGCTCGCGCGCAGAGAAAAGCAGGCGGACTGTGTTGTGAGACAGACTTGCCGAGGGTGAAATAGAAGAATTTAATAACTAAAATCAAAATCACACACAGGGTGTTTTGGCTGGAGAGGGGGGATGCGGATGAGGTTTATACGGCACCAGGGCCCTGCCAGGCTCGCGGGAGCACAGAGGCATCCGGGCCTCGGGAGCTTCCCAGCCAGCAGGGGATTAACCACACGCCTCTCCTTCCACTTCACGGCACCTATCGGCCCGGCGCCCCCTCCGCGCCCACTCCTCCCACCCTCCGCCCAACGGCCCAAGTGGTTTCCCAGCCTCCACTGCCGTCACCCAGCAGGGAATGCCCACAGAGAAACCTAGGGGACGCTTTTCAAAACACGAGCCAAGGTGTCATTTCCTGGGTGAGATACCCTTAAAGGGCTTCCCGCTGTGACTAGAAGAGAATCGAGCCACCAAGAGGGTCTGTCTCTGCCTCTGCCAAGCGCTCCGACCTCACCTCTCACCCTGCCTGCCCCGCCCGGCCGTGCCGCCTCCTCTCTGCCCCTAGGGCCCTGCCGGGCCCTCCGCTGGAGCCCAGCTCTGTGCCGCGCTGCCTCCTCTTCCTCCTGCAGGTGCCAGCTCGGCACGCCTGGCAGAGAGGGCCTCCCAAGCCCGCTGCAGGCGGCAGCCCGCCTGGGGTGGCAAAGGGAATCGCTGTTGACCCCCGAACGTCAGCGCCAGGAAGGACCTCAGCTCTCCTGCTACGGGTGAGAAAACAGGGGCCCGGGGAAGCGGCAGCCACCTGCCCAAGGGCTCTCCGCGTATCGGCTGCAGAGCTACGACTCCTGGTCCACTGTGTCCGCAGGGGTGTCATTTTGGGTGCGATTTGTGTTTGCTCTGCTTTGTTCTATTCCAGCCCCTGCAGCAGAACACACGGACTGGGTTTTCAAAGTGCATCCGGAGCTTCTGCAAGCGGAGGACTAGACCTGGCTGCCGGCCAAGCAGTGGCCGTGAAACCTGCCGGAAGACGACACCCCGCCCCGCTCCCGGGCTCACTCCAGGGGGAAAGCCGGGTGACTCGGCCAGCGCTGGGGACCCAGGCAGTGGGCGGAGGAGGGCGGCGCCCCCCGGGGCAGCACCCCTACCTTTCTGCAGGGAAACCTCCACCACGATCCTGTAGTTGGGCTTGGCGGCGCCGGCGGGCGCCGGGGGGCTCTCGGAGGCGAAGCAGCTGCCGTCCTTGGTGACACAGGTGCTGGAGCTCAGAGAGCGGCACAGCGGGGGAGACAGGGGGCTGCACAGGGGCGGCGGTGACGTCAGGCGGGTCCTCACGGTGAGGGTGAGGAGCCCCTTCTTGGCTTGCTGAAAGGAGAGGGAGACAGCTATGGCAGCCGCAGCGACGGGGAGGGGAGAACACTGGGCCCCAGGAGAACAGTGGTAAGATGCTTGCTAAGGAAACGCAGCTGTGTGTGCGTGTATAACACGTAAGCATGAGCGTATATTCATACGTGTTACGTGTATGACATATTTGTGTGCATATACACATACATGCTATGTCCATGCCAGGTGGATGGATAGAGGGATAGAGGTTTGGGTTGAACTAACTGGACCCAGACTCTAAATATCGGTAAATATCACAAAATATCTTTTAGTGATTGCCTTAAAAGAGATTTGTAAACACGTCGATATAAACACATATAAATACGTGGACTGTTTCAAGAAGTTTTATAAATCTTAAGTAGTTTAAACCCCCCTACAACCATCCTGATCACACTGTTACTGTCTGAGTAAGGTGCTGTTTTAACACTGCGCCGAGCCTGGCACCGGCGTGGCGAGGTGCCCGTGCAGAGGATCCCACAGTTTGAATTTGTAGGTTGGGCACCCAGGGTTTGGTTCCTTTGCCTGGAATCCCTGGAGTTTGGCACATACTGAAAAGAGACGGTCACCTTGAACTTCTGCAAAGCGTCCTGATGTGTTAGCCCAGACATCGATTCACCATTGAGTTCCAGAATTTCATCACCTGTCGAGAGAGAAATTGTAGCTGGGAAGAGTGTTGCCCAATCACAGGGCGATTCACCTGGACTCTGCTCTTACCCTGAACTCTGGTCTCTCCACTGCCCAGCTTTCTGCATGATGCACAAAGCGCGGGGAAGGACACTTCTGCATTTGGTGCTGTCCCCCTGCAAGGCAGGCAGGGCAGCAACGACGGACCTTCTAGGGCACCTCCTGCCTTCCCGGGTGAAATCTGGGGTTCTTGGGCAGGCACAGAAGCCCCGGCCTGCTCTGGGCCCTGCCCACCTCTCTGCTTCTCCTCCCTCCCCCCTGCCTCGCCGACCCTCACGTCTTGCGCCATTGCACGATTTTCTGATACAACAAGACTGGCGTTTTCCACACCGGTCTGTGCATTTACATGCCTGTTCCATGATGCTTTCCCCACTAACATGTACACCTCCTACCTTCTCCTATCTCTTCTCAATCTTGCAGCCCCTGCTACCTTTATCTCCTTTGTACACTCGGGGCGCCCTGTACCTACGGCTGTCACTGCCCGTGTCACCTGGGTGGTGAACAGTGATCTGCAAAAGTCACTCCTGGCCAGGCTGGTGGCTTGCTGGGCTCAGGAGCTTTGTCTTATTATTAACAGATGATGCAGTCTCTGGGCCAATGCTGGGTGAGGTCAGCAAAGCGCTCAGTAGATGTGGGTTGGACATGATGTGTGCGGAAGGCAACGCAGACCTCATTCTAGAGTAGAATAAAGTGAGCTCAGGGAAGTCCCAAGTCACATGGTACAGAGAATTAGGACTTGGGTCTTTTGACTCCAGGTTCTTTCTCACAACACTATACTTCCAGGTGAACAATTTTTTCTCTATCTAGAAATCCATTTTTATGTGGCTATAAAACCACTTCTCCATCTCTTTCAGTTTATCCCATACACAAACAGGGAGAACTTTCTCTGTATTCGACACCGTACTAGGCAGCTGAGAGTGAACACTATTTTCATAGTGGCCTCTGGGCTTATCACTGATGAATGTACCGTCACATAATCATGGTTCCATCGTATATAATCCACACTTTTTTTCTGGTTGCTTTTAAGACTTTTTCCCTTTGTCTTTGAAATTCTGCCATTTCACTATGATGAGCTGCGGTGGAAGCAACTTCTTCGTGCTTCCTCAAGTTGAAGTTTCACGCCTTAAATCAATTCCGAAAAATTCTAAGCCATTATCTCTTTGCAAATTGTCTCTCTCTTTCAGTCTATTCTTTCTTACTAAAATTCCTATCAGGTGTATTTTGAACCTTTTTACCCTATTCTTCATTTTTCTTTGGTGCTCATCTTTCTCTTCTTTATTGTTCACGTGGCCTACTGTATAATTTCCAGTTCACTAATTTTCCTTACAACTTCATCTAATCTTCTGTTAAATCCATCCATTGAGGTTTTTATTTCAATGACTATGACTTTTTTTTTTTTTATTTCTGGAAGTTTTTTTTCCCACATCCACCTAATTTTTTCATTGTGTTCTGGTCTTAGAGTTTAAATTCCTTCTTTTATCTTTTAAAAATGATCTTAAACATAATAATTCTATAGTTTCTTTTCGATTATTCTGTTCTCTTCAGTGTTTGAGGGCTAGTACTGCTTTCTGTCATTTCTGATGACCCTCCTGAATAGTGGCCCCTTCCTGATGTAGTACATAATCTCTATTGTAAACTCACTTTTTAGGATATTCAGTTTTTCTGTGAAGTTCCCATATACCACCAGGCACCTCAAGGGTTTCACTGGTTTGGGACTGGTTTTAATATTAATTTCTCAGCTTGGAGATTCCTGTGCTCTATTAGAACCATAAATGTGACCCGTGTGCCCATACATGACACAGGCTTTGGTATCATTTCCTTGCGAGAGATATTTTTGTCCCCTCGGGAATCCTGGGCAAAGTTAAGTTTCCGGCTGCTTCCCCGGGGGCCTGCAGCCTTTCATGGGGGGCAGCTCTTTCAGTACCAAAGCTCCATGTGGGTTCTCAGGTCCTCACCTGGACCCGAGCCCTGGCCCCAGTCCCTATGTGGGCATTCAAATCCTGGCCCCTGGCCCTTCGGGTCTGTACGGAATCTGGCAGCCCTCTGGGTGCTACCACATCAGCTCCTGGGTTCGCCACACCGAGGTTTAAAGCTGTTCCCTTGTTTTCTAGCAGCCGGACGTTTCCATTTCCTGTGTTCAAGTTCAGATGTGCTATTTTCTTTGACATGTCCACGTGTTGGAGACAGAGGGTGGAGGCAGGGTGGGGAGAGTATTCAGATCAATTCATTCTGTTCGATTGCTGGAAACAAAGTGGAAAATGAAAGGAACCAGTCCTGGACTTCATGAGACTCCAAGTGTGGGAGTGAAAATAGACACATTAAAAAAAGCAATCAAAATATAATTAAACGTGTGCTGAAGGAATAATAGAAAAAGAGAATATTTCAGAATGTCCATTCTTTTCGACAAGAGGTCTTGAACTCCTGGGCTCAAGCGATCCTCCTGCCTCAACCTCCCGAAGTGCCAGGATTACAGGCGTGAGCCACCGCACCCGGCCTAGAATGTCCTTCTTAATTCCATGAGGGGCCGAGCCTCCCTGCAAGTATGAGAATGTCCATCTTGATGGGGCCACGCAGCCAAGCTCTGGGCTCCTTGGAGTGTCCTCTGTTTATTTGATCATATCTGGTGAAAGTTGAATGACTTAGGTTTTTCCAAATAAATCTTACACAATCAGTTTTTGGAAAGAGTAAAAACGAAACATCAGTGTATAACAAACCTTTGCTGCAACTACTCTATCTGCCATGAACTCAAGGGCAGATTCAAAAACTTCGCTTTTGGAAGAAATTACAAAAGAGTTGCTTAGTTTTTGAGGCTAGCATCAGGGATGGCATATAAGCTGAATGTCTTGGCTCATTGAAATTCTCCATTTTTTGCTTATAATTAATACTAATTAAGAGGGGAAAATACTCAGAAAGAAAATAAAAAGGTTGTCTTGGGCACACTCACATTCAGGAAATAAAACAAAACACAAGACTCTTTTCTTGCCACCCCAACCGCTCCCGGTGCTTTGTTCCAACACAAGACAGTAAAACAAACGGCGGCAGACCCTCTGGGCGCTGGTCCCACTGCTCATTCCTCTTTGGCTCTTGCCCGCCTGCCTCTCGAGTTAGCTGCTCCCCTAGAACCATGCCGGGCCGTGTCCTCCCCACTCCTCCTGTCCCCTCATCCACTCGCAACCTCAGCCACTGTCCAGGTGCCGATGCCCCAGCTCGGACTCCCTGAGCCGGGCCCACGTTTTCATTCCCCTGCTGGGCAGCGCCACCCAGCGGTCACCCTGGGACGTCACCCTCCCTTCCGGGGCTCAAACCACCTCTACCTGGTCTCTGTCACTTCTCTCATCCTTCAGGGCCACCGTCTGGGGCAGGTCCTCAGAGCTGAGTCCGGCTCTCACAGCAGCCTGTGGTCTGGTCTGGCCCACTCCAGCCCACGCTCTGCTTCCCGAGTCACCCCAAAACCCTGGTCACAGCGGGTCCCTCCCATACTCTAAAACCTTCAAAGCTCCCCACTGCCCACACGGTAAGATCCGCACGCACAGCCCTGCCTGATGCTGGGGTCGGCAAACTTTTCTATGAAGGGCCAGACGGTAAATATTTTGATCTCTGGGAAACAACCGCCCGACGCCGCCGTGGCCGCCGAGGCCGCCGAGAGCAGCCCTAGGCAACAGGGAGCCGGATGAGCAGGCCTGTATCCCAAGAAACCGTTGTCATGGACACCGACATTTAAATTTCCCTTAATTTTCACGTGTCACACACGAAGCAAAAACAATTTCAAATTTTTCAGCCATTTAGAAATGTAAAAACTTGTCTTTGTTCGTGAGCTGCATAAAACCCCGCCCTAAACAAGCTAGGCTAGGAGAGGCGGAGAGGCTTCCAGAAACCGGCCCTACAGAGGCCCGAGAATGCCGAGCCGTCACTTCTCTTTGGCCTCCCCGAGTGCAACCCCGTCCCCGGCCCGCAGTGGCCACCGCACCCCACGACTCCCCGCCCCTGAGCTGGGACCTGGTCTTCCGGGGCGCAGCCGCCGCCTGACAGTCCCACCGCGGCTCTGACTCGGGTGGGGCGGGGAGAGGAGGGAACCCGGGCCCTCCGGGACAAGAGGACGGCGGCCCCCCACTGCCAGGTGGCCGGGCTCCACCTGTGAACGAGTTGGGTAGTGGCCCAGAGGAGAGGGGCTGTCGGGGGGCGGGGGTGGGGGACCCCAGCTGGCAGAGTCCTCTCCACACGCCCGGGGCCCGGAGCTCCGAGGCTCTTAGAGAATGTTCATCCTTCTCATCCAGGAGAAGCGCTGGACGCGTCTCCCTCGGGTTGTGGGTTGGGCGGGGCAAGGAGAAGGAAGGAGAAGGGAGGTTAGTGGGTCCCAGCGACCCAGAGAGGACCCTGGACAGAGCGGGAAGGGCAGAGAATTGGGGGAGGGGCAGAAACAGACCCTCGGACCCCGCCACAGCGGGCCACGGACCGGCCGAGCGAGCAGACACACGCGGCCGGGTGCCCGTCGTGGGGAGCCCCTGTGGGGATGTGTCCCCACCCGCAGACCCCAGAATCATGCAGGCCGGATTCTGAAAGCTCGAGAAACGCTTTGCATTCCCCTTGTCGTCCACAGCCTAGCAATTCCGGATCCTGCTTCCGACTCCTCCACCACGGTCCGAGCAGGGCTGGGAAATCTACCTTCTTGTAGCCTCCCGTCGGCCGCCGCCGCGCCCCCTGCAAAGATGGTTTTGACGTAAATCCCAATGGGACCATAAATGCTGTCCTTTCCCCCAACGATGCTGAAGCCCAGGCCCTAGGGGAAGAAGAGAAGGGCGGGTTTAGGGCTGCGCCGTGCTTGCTGCTGGGCCATGTTTTCTGAGGCTGCCTCAGCCTCCACGAAGGGACCAGGAGGAAGGGAAGGTGCCCCCTGGAGTCACAGACCTCAGGGCTGGACAGGAACGCAAGGGCAGTACTCTGAGGCCTGCTGGGCGGGGCCGTGTCCGGAGCTTCCACAGGGTCTGACGTTCCCCGCACAGGCCAGTCCGGACGGAGACCGGAGCCCTAGCGCTGTCCCTCCACGGGTGATTCCAGACTAGTCACTTCCGGCCTCTGAGCTGGGGTGCGTGCAGGGCCCACCCTGCAGAGCTCACAGGCGGCAGCTAGACCCTCCCTCACACCACACACCAAAACTACGTCAGACAGGTTAAAGCAATCAATCCTTCCTTATTTCAGCACCTGGGTTGCTTGGGCTGGTCTGAGAACATTTACAGAAACTGCCTGTGTCTGTCCCAGTTATTTTCATGTGTGTGTCAATCCCACACATAAGGCAGCGTGCTTTGGGGACAGCACAAAGAAACATCTGAGATGCCCCATTACCACCGATACTTTTTTTTCTTTTTTTTGAGACAGGGTCTTGCTCTGTTGCCCAGGCTGGAGTACGGTGGCATCATCATAGCTCACTGCAACCTCGAATTCCTGGGCTCAAGAGATCCTCCCACCTCAGCCTCCCGAGTAGCTGGGACTACAGGTGAGCACCACCACCCCTGGCTAATCTTTTTCTAAGTTCTTTGTAGAGATGGGAGGTTCACTATGTTGCCCAGACTCATCTCAAACTCCTGGCCTCAAGTTATCCTCCCTCCTTGGCCTCCCCAAGTGCTAGACTGCAGGCCTGGCCTCCACCCACACTTTTGTTTCTGCCTCGATGTTTCTCGGTGTGGAGCAGCAGTCGGCGCGATGTTTCCCCACCTCAAGGGAGCTCGAGTGGGTTCTGCCTCTTCTGGGGGTTCTGACCGACAGCAAAGCGTCATAGACCCTCGAATTACCCACACGTAGCAGGGGGCATATATGTTGGGAAATTTGCACCTGGGCTCATGCTTTATCATGCCAACACCTGAATGGTGGAGGTAAAATCGGAATCCAGAAGTCTACGTAAACAATTTGGATTTATGTATCAGGCAAAATTTAGTCCTGGAAAATATCACACCAGGAATAAATCGGGGGAAAACTGTGACGGTACTAAGGCAGGTGGGGAACGGTCTCCTCTGC